CAACTTAAACGCTGATGTCCTCAGTTTCCCAATTAGTTAAGGAGGGACCTAGGGTAAATTGTTATCAAACCTCCTTCAAGTTCTGAAAAAAAAAATCAAAGATGCTAGATGCTAGAAGAAAGGAGGGAGGAAGAGGGAGAGAGAAATAATTAGCTTCTCTGTCTTTGGAGCTATAAGCTTCTTCCCCTTTCTTACTTTTCCAAGTTCCCTAAGCTTTCTGTCATCAAAAGACCAAAGCCTTCCTATTTCTCTAGCAAAACATATAATCAAGAAAGAATTTAATTTTTTTAAGTTATTGGGGTACAGGGAGTATTTGGTTACATGAGTAAGTTTTTTTTTTTTTTGGAGAGATGAGGTTTCACCATGTTGGCCAGGATGGTCTCAATCTCCCGACCTCATTATCCACCCACCTCAGCCTCCCAAAGTGCTGAGATTATAGGCATGAACTACCACACCGGCTTACATGAGTAAGTTCTTTAGTGGTGATTTGTCAGATTTTGGTGCACCCATCACCTAAGCAGTATACACTGTACCATATTTGCAGTCTTTTAGCCCTCCCACTCTTACCCCAAGTCCCCAAAGTCAATTATGTCATTCTTATGCCTTTGCATCCTCATAGCTGAGCGCCCACATATCACTGAGAACATAGGATGTTTGGTTTTTCATTCCTGAGTTATATCACTTAGAATGACAGTCTCCAATCTTATCCAGGTCACTGCAAATCCTGTTAATGCATTCCTTTTTATGGCTGCATAGTAGTCCATCATATATATATATATATATATATATATATATATATATATATATGCCAGTTTTTTTACACACTTGTTGATTGATGCGCATTTGAGCTGGCTCCATAACTTTGCAGGTGTGAATTGTGCTGATATAAGCATGAGTGTGCAAGTACCTTTTTTGAATAATGACTTATTTTCCTCTAGGTAGATAGCCAGTAGTGGGATTGCTGGATCAAATGGTAATTTTACTTTTCGATCTTTAAGGAATCTCCACACTGTTTACCATAGTGGTTGTACCAGTTTACATTCCCACCAACAATGAAGAAGTGTTCCCTGATCATCACATCCATACCAACATCTTCTGGTGTTTTTTTGATTATGGCCATTCTTGCAGGAGTAAGATGGTATTACATTGTGGTTTTGATTTGCATTTCCCTGATCATTAGTGATGTTGAGCATTTTTTATGTGTTTGTTGACCATTTGTATATCCTCTTTTCATAATTGTCTCTTCATATCCTTAGCCCACTTTTTGATGAGACTATTTGATTTTTTGCTTACTGATTTGTTTGTGTTAATTGCAGATTCTGGATATTAGTCCATTATCAGGTGTATAGATTGTGAAGATTTTCTCCCACTCTGTGGGATGTCTGTTTACTCTGCTGACTGTTCCTTTTGCCATGTAAACGTTCCTTAGTTTAATTATGTCCCAGCTATTTATCTTTGTTCTTATTGCCTTTGCTTTGGGTTCTTGGTCATGAAATCCTTGCCGAAGCCAAGGATTAGGGTTTTTCCAATGTTATCTTCTAGAATTTTTATAGTTTCAGGTCTTAGGATTGAGTCCTTAATCCATCTTGAGTTGAATTTGTATAAGGTAAGAGATGAGGATCCAGTTTCATTCACCTACATCTAGCTAGCCAGTTATCCCAGCACCATTTGTTGAAAAGGGTATCCTTTTCTCACTTTAAGTTTTTGTTTGCTTTATCAAGGATCAGTTGGCTGTAAGTATTTGGGTTTATTTCTGGGTTCTCTATTCTGTTCCATTGGTCTATCTGCCAATTTTTATACCAATACCATGCTGTTTTGGTGACTATGGCCTCATAGTATAGTTTGAAGTCAGGTAGGATGATGACTCCAGATTTGTTCTTATTGCTTAGTCTTGCTTTGGCTATGTGAATTCTTTTATGGTACCATATGAATTTTAGAATTATTTTTTCTAATTTAGTGAAGAATTATGGTAGATCTGATGGGGATTCCATTGAATTTATAGATTGCTTTTGGTAGTATGGTCATTTTCATAATATTGATTCTACCCATCCATGAGCATGAGATGTGTTTCCATTTGTTTATGTCATCTATGATTCCTTTCAGCAGTGTTTTGTAGTTTTCCTTGTAGAGGTCTTTTGACTCCTTGGTTAGGTATATTCCTTATTTATTTATTTGTTTATTTATCTGACAGCTATTATGAAAGGGGTTGAGTTCTTGATTTGATTCTCTGTTTGGTTGCTGTTGATGTGTAGAAGAACTACTGATTTGTGTCCATTAATCTTGTATCCAGAAACTTTGCTGAATTCTTTTATCAGTTCTAATAGCTTTCTAGTGGGGTTCTTAGGGTTTTCAAGGTAAGTGATCATATTGTCAGCAAATAGTGACAATGTGACTTCCTCTTTACTGATTTGGATGTCCTTTGTTTCTTTATCTTGTCTGATTGCTCTGGCTAGGACTTCCAGTACTATGCTGAAGAAGAGTGGTGAGAGTGCGCATCCTTGTCTTCTTCCAGTTGTCAGAGGGAATGCTTTCAACTTTTCTGCATTCACTATTATGTTGGCTGTGGGTTTGTCATAGATAGCTTTTATTACATTGAGGTATGTCCCTTGTATTCTGATTTTGTTGAGAGTTTTAATCATAAAGGGATGCTGGATTTTGTCTAATGCTTTTTCTGCATCTATTGAGATAACCATGTGATTTTTCTTTCTAATTCTGTTTATGTGGTGTATCACATTTATTGGCTTGCATGTGTTAAATCATCCCTGCATCCCTGGTATGAAACCTACATGATCATGGTGGATTATCTTTTTGATGTTTTTGGACTCAGTTAGGTAGTATTTTGTTAAGGATTTTACCATCTATGTTAATCAAGGATATCAGTCTGTAGTTTTCTTTTTTGGTTATGTCCTTTCCTGGTTTTGGTATTAGGGTGATGCTGGCTTCATAGAATGAATTAGGGAGGGTTCCTTCTTTCTCTATCTTGTGGAATAGTGTCAAAAGGATTGCTACTAATTCTTTGAACATCTGGCAGAAATCTGCTGTGAATCCATTTGGTCTTGGACTTTTTTTGTTGGTAATTTTTAAATTACCATTTCAATCTCACTGTTTGTTATTAGTCTGTTCAGGGTATCTAATTCTTCCTGATTTAAGCTAGGAGGATTGTATTTTTCCAGGAATTTATCCACCTCTTCTAGATTTTCTAGGTTATATGAAAAAAGGTGTTCATAGTATCTTTGAATGATCTTTTTTATTTCAGTGGTGTCAGTTGTAATATCTCCTGTTTCATTTCTTAGTGAGGTTATTTTGATTTTCCCTCCTTTTTTCTTGGTTAATCTTGCTAATGGCCTATCAATTTTATTTATCTCTTCAAAGAACCAGCTTTTTGTTTCATTTATCTTTTGTATTTTTGTTAGAATATCATTTAGTTTTGCTCTGATATTGGTTATTTCCTTTCTTCCGCTGGGTTTGGGTTTGATTTGTTCTTCTTTCTCTAGTTCCTTGAGGTATGACCTTAGATTGTCTGTTTGTGCTCTTTCAGACTTTTTGATTTAAGCATTTAGGGCTATGAACTTTCCTCTGAGCAACGCCTTTTCTGTATCTCGGAAGTGTTGATAAGTTATGTCATTATTGTCATTCAGTTTGAAGAATTTTTTAATTTCCATCTTGATTTCATTTTTGACCCAAAGCTCATTAAGGAGCAGGTTATTTAATTTCCATGAATTGGCATGGTTTTAAAGGTTGATTTCCAGTTTTATTCTACTATGGTCTAAGAGAGTGCTTGTTATAATTTCAGTTATCTTAAATTTATTGAGGTTCATTTTGGGGCCCATCTTCTGGTCTATCTTGGACAAAGTTCCATGCACTATGGAATAGAATGTGTATTCTGTGGTTGTTGGATGAAATGCTCTGTATGTGTCTGTTAAGTCTATTTGTTCCAAGGTATAGTTTAAATCCATTGTTTCTTTGTTGGCTTTCTGACTTGATGGCCTGTCCAGTGCTTTCAGTGGAGTATTAAAACCCACCACTATTACTGTGTTGCTGTCTATCTCATTTCTTAGGTCTATTGGTAATTGTTTTATAACTTTGGGAGCTCCAGTGTCAGGTGCATATATGTCTAAAATTATGATATTTTCCTATTGGACAAGGCCTTCATATTATATAAGGTGATTATATCCTGTCCTTCTTTGTCTCTTTTAACCACTGTTGCTTTAAAGTTTGGTTTTGGTTTTTTGTTTCTTGGTTTTGTTTTGTTTTGAGATTCAGAAATATTTTATAAGAAATGAAATGTATATTCATTATAACATCAGCTTTTATTTCTGTGTACTGTATGAACTTCCCAAAACCATTCTCCAAAGTTAACCATTTAAAACTCACTCATATATTTTATTATGCATCCTACAACAAAGACTAAGAAGCAGGCAAGAATGATGACAAAACACAGCCTAAATATGGAAAACATCTTGAATCCAGTTTTGTGTTTAAGAATTTTTCTCATGCATACTATCCACGATTTTTTTCTGCCCAGAGTGTTAGTTTCCTAGGATTGCTATAACAAATTACCACAAACTGGGTAACTTAAAGCAGCAGAAATATATTCTCTCACTGTTCTGGAGGCTAGAAATACAAAATTATGTTAACAGGGTTGGCAACTACTGGAACTCTGAGGGAGAATCTATTCCCTGCTTTTTTCATGTCTTCTGATGGTTGCCGTGATGTATCACTCCAATATCTGCCTCCAGCTTCATGTGGCATTCCCCCATGTCGTCTCCTCCTCCTCCTCCTCCTCCTCCTCCTCCTCCTTCTTTTTCTTCTTCTTTCTTCTTCTTTCTTCTCCTCCTCCTCCTTCTTCTTCTCCTCCTCCTCCTCCTCCTCCTCCTCCTCCTCCTCCTCTTCTTCTTCTTTGGCAGAGTCTCATTCTGTTGCTCAGACTAGAGTTCAGTGGTGCAATCTCAGCTCACTGCAACCTCTACCTCCTAGGTTTTAGTGATTCTTCTGCCCCAGCCTCCTGGGTAGCTGAGATTACAGGCACGTACCACCATGCCTGGGTAGTTTCTGTATTTTTAGTAGAGATGGGTTTTCACCATGTTGTCCAGACTGATCTTGAACTCCTGGGCTTCAAGCAATTTGCCTCGCTTGGCCTCCCAAAGTGCTGGGATTACAGGCATAAACCACCACAGCCACCTATCTTCTCTTATAAGGAACACCAGTCATGTTGGATTAAGGGCCTGCCCTGCTCCAGTACGACCTCATCTTAGCTACTTAAAACCACACAACCACCACCACAGTATTTTCAAATAATGTCACATTCCAAGGCTCTAGGTAGTACATGCATTCTGTCAACCCAGTGTATTCAGTTCCTATTTAACATAAAAAATAATTTCTATACTATACAGGATGAAAAAAGGACTTATGAAGTAGGTGAATGATTGTTGAATATACAAATATCTTTTATTTTCCAATCACATACAGGACTAAGAGTTTTTTGGGAATATATCTCATTCACAAATATGTGTTACATGCAAATAGAAATGTATACATTGTTCAAGTAAAATTCAGGGAATTAACCTAGGTACACTCTCTTGTTTCTATTTCAAACATATTGTTCTCCAGATTCTTTTTAAATTCTGATATCCCTGTAGGATTGTTCAGATTTAAATAAAGCCTGTAAAGCAGAAGTAGTAAATGACCCTGGGTACTACCGTTAAATATTACAGTGGTAGATCAAATACGTCTGAGATAAATTCATGTATTTAATTCTTATCTATTTTGCCCATACAGTTATGCTGATATTTCATTCACTTGGATTCACCAACTTAAAATTTGTAACCATAATGGAGAATCTTTTTTCTGTGCTTGAAAAAAGTTTACTGAGCAAATTAATAGTATAAATATGATTTCAAGAATAACTAAGAGAATATTCATTTATATGTACCATTAATCAATATGCCCCCTTTCCTACCCCATGTGTCCTTTGACTAATTATCTACAACTTATCCTTCAGGTCACAGTTAAAGTATCATGTTCTCATACCTGGTTTCTGACAACAGATTAAATCCTTACTAGATGCTCTTATTGTACCATGTACGACCTGTTTGTAGTATTTACCACTGTGTCCATTTTATACTGATTTTTGTGATTATAACTAACATAATTTTCCTCTACTAAACTCTATAGGACATGCACTGTGGGTTATGTATATTGTACTTAGTTTTGCTTTTCTAATGATAAATAGTTCAGTACTTGCTGAATAACTGAATAAGTTAAAAGTAGATATTACATATAAAAAGTTGATATGTGAATTATGGATCAATTTCATCAATTTGTTAAAGAATATTCTACCAAGTATTCTTTTCCTGAATAAACTTTTACCCTTATAACAGTTACCATATCTTTGTGACAACATTAAGGGGGCATTCATTTTACTATGTTAAATAGATAGTTTTCTATTTCAAATAGACTTGGCTGAATTATTTTGATTAGCTCAACTAAAAACTACAAAATTCTAATAAGAGACTTTATTACTTACTAAAGGCATTGTGAGTTATTATTAAAATAAATACAATTGACACAAAATATAAGTTTTGTGAAATCTCTGTAAAGATTTTACATTTTTACTTTGTGATATATGAAGAAAATGGCCCATATCATACTGAAAAATACCTTTAAAATAATGGACTATAATTTGAAAAATAAAATTTTATCAATATAACACATATTTAAACTAATATTTTAAAATTTATAAAAAGCCTATATTTGCAAAAGCTACAGTAATTATTCACAAGTAGAGACATTAAAATTCATTCCATAATCATCATTATTTGAGCCAGAGAAAGACTGTTGCGAATTGGAATATCTAAATTCAAAATTTAGGACATGCAGGTGTGATTATAATATCTTTCTTTTCTCTTTCAGTTTGAGTTTACGTATTTAGATAAACACAACATAGTATTTTTTTAAATGTCCTGGCCAGAGGAAGAACTGCGTTTCAAGAGTCCAACACGATGCAAAAATTAACACATTTTTCTAGTCTTGAGATGCTGCTGCTCCCTGAATGGAACTTTCTCTGTCATGCTAGTATTTCCTATAGTTTCTTTTTAAGGAAAAATAAATGCTAAATGCTGTCAGTTTTCAGACTGTCCCACACTTAAACCTACACGAAGACATTCAGGAATATAACATGAGTAAAGATTAGAGAAATTGTGAGAAAAAAAATTTGAAGGATAAGATGATGGTAACTTATAATTTGATAGCTGCTCTAAGCTTGGCTGAGCACCCTCTAGGGTTATCTTGTACATCCTGATCTTGTGGACTAAGCACCTTCTTGTATATCAATTCCCACATTAAAGGAGCTCTTCTCATGGAGACTTCTTCCATGTTTTCATGATCTGAACCCAATTGCAATGTTTTCATCATTTGCTGTCTAACACTTAGGTTAAACCTTTCTGTCATGCTTATTCCAGGCAAAAACCTTTTGACAATGCGATCCTCTAGTGAATGGAAAGAGAGGGCAACAAGACAACCACCAGGTCTCAGAAACTTCTAAGCCATCTTTAGTCCTGTGTAGAGTTCATTGAGCTCATTGTTCAAAAATATGCAAAGAGCCTGGAAAGTCTTGGTGGCAATATGCGTCGATCGCTGTAGCACATCATTTTGTGCATAAATAGCAGAGGGAGGAAATGCACCTGTGACGATGCTGGCAAGCTGCTGGGTTCTGGTGATGTGGTAGATGCTGCATGTCTGAACAATTGCTGAAGCAATTTTCTTGGCATGCTTCTCCTTCCCACATGTTCTTAGGGTAGATGCAAGTGCCTGTTGATTTAAAGCATTCACAACATTAACTGCAGGGGCACATCAGGTTACCTGCCACCATCCATCCTCATGTCCAAGGGGCCATCTTTCCAAAGGGAAAAAACTCTTTCGTGAGTATCAGGTTGCATGGAGGAACACCCAGGATCCATAAGAACTCCATCTGAAGTCCCTGGCTGCACTCCAACTTTCATTAATAAGGCTTCTGCCTGGCTGAATTGGCCCAGCATAACTCAGATTTGTTTCGGATACAACTCTGAAAGATGTTCACCTAATGCATAAGCTGTTGGGTCCCTGTCTAAGGCATACAGAACAATGTCTAACTGCTGTAGAGTGGTTTTTGTGTACCTTCCCGAACCAAATGTCATATCTAGAAAAATCTGTCATTTTGTGGTGACAAACAATGAACAGCTTCATCCAGCATTACGAGAATGTGTAATTTAGCCACAGTTTCAAAATATCTCGAGATCTGTGTAACTGCTGGGCTTGAGTTTGATCTTTTTGCCCCTGGGTTTCACATTCTTTATATTTTTCTGCTGTAGTATGTATTCCTTTTGGCCAGACACCCAAATTACGTATGCCAGATTCCAACCAACATGAAAAACATTCTTTATACATTCTACAAAAATATAGATACCGAAGCATTCTGTAGGTCAACAAATCTGAGGCACGAAGACTTCTCAGTTGGCCTCTAACTTGAGCCAGTGACTACCACTACAGTGCTGGAGAACCTGAATTTGCCCACTTTAAAATTTGTTTTGTCTGATAAGAATAGCTACCCCTGTTCTCTTTTCATGAAATGCCTTTTTCCACCCCTTTACTTTAAGTTTATGTGTGTCCTTACATGTTAGGTGAGTCTCCTGAAGGCAGCAGAGAGTTATTGGTGAGTTGTTATCCATTCTGTATTTCTGTATCTTTTAAGTGGAGCATTTAGGCCATTCACATTCAATGTTAGTATTGAAATGTGATGTACCATTGCTTTCATTGTGTTCTCTGTTGCCTGTGTACTTTGGTTTTTTGTTTGTTTTTTGTTTTTGATTTTGTATTTTAGTTTCATAGGTCCTGTGTGATTTATGCTTTAAAGAGGTTCTGTCTTGTTGTATTTCCATGATTTGTTTCAAGATTCTGAACTCCTTTTAGCAGTTCTTATAGTGGTGGTTTAGTAAAGGTGAATTCTCTCAGTATTTGTTTGTCTGAGAACGACTGTATCTTTCCTTCATATATGTTGCTTAGTTTTGCTAGATACAGAGTTTTTGGCTGATACTTGTTTTGTTTTAGGAAGCCAAACATAGGTCCCCAATCCCTTCTTGCTTGTAGGGTTTCTGCTAAGAAATCAGCTGTTAATCTGATAGGATTTCCTTTATAGGTTACCTGGTGCTGCTGTCTCGGTTCTTTCCTTTGTCTTAACTTTGGATAACCTGATGACAATGTGCCTAGGCTAAGATCTTTTTGTAATGAATTTCCCGGGTCTTCTTTGTGCTTCTTGTATTTGGATGTCTAGGGCTCTCGCAAGCCCAGGGAAGTTTTCATCGATTATTACCCCAAATATGTTTTCCAGCTTTTAGAATTTTCTTCTTTATCAGGTACACTAATTATTCTTAGGTTTGGTTAACATAATCCAAGACTTCTTGGAGGCTTTGTTCATATTTTCTTATTCTTTTCTTCTTTATCTTTGTTGGATTGTGTTAATTTGAAGATCTTGTCTTCAAGCTCTTAATTTCTTTCTTCTACTTGTTCAATTCTATTGCTGAAATGTTCTAGACTCTCTAGAACATTTCACATTTCTAAAGGTGTATCAAAAGTTTGCTGAATTTTTTATTGTTTTTTCCTTAAGCTATCTATTTCCATGAATATTTCTCCCTTCACTTCTTGTATCACTTTTTGGATTTCCTTGCTTCGGACTTCACCTGTCTCTGGTCCCTCCTTGATTAGCTTAATAACTAACCTCCTGAATTCTTTTTTCAGGTAAATCAGGGATTTATTCTTGGTGTGGATCCATTGCTAATAACTAGTGTGATTTTTGGGGGGTGTTGAAGAGCCTTGTTTTATCATATTACCAGGGTTTGTTTTCTGGTTCCTTCTCATTTGGGTAGGTTCTGTCAGAGAGAAGGTCTAGGTTGAAGGCTGTTGTTCAGATACTTTTGTCCCACAGGGTGTTCCCTTGATGTAGTACTCTCCCTCTTTTCCTATAGATGTGGCTTCCTATGAACCAAACTGCAGTGATTGTTGTTGTCACTCTTCTGGGTCTAGCCACCCAGCGAGCCTACCTGGCTCTAGGGTAGTACTGAGGGTTATCCACACCCAGTCCTGTGATGTAAACTATCTCTGGGTCTCTCAGCCTTGGATACCAGTGCCTGTTATGGTGGAGGTGACAGAGGGTACAATGGACTCTGTGAAGGTCCCTAGCTTTGTTAGTTTAATGCTCTATTTTTGTGCTGATTGGCCTCCTGCCAGGAGGTAGCACTTTCCAGAAAGCATCAGCTATAGTAGTGTGGGAGAGGAACCCGCAGTGAGTGGAGCCCTAGAACTCCCAAGATTATATGCCCTTTGCTTTTCACTACCAGGGTGGATAGGGAGGGATCATCATGTGGGAGCAGGGCTAAGGGTGTCTGAGTTCAGACTCTCCTTGGGAGGGTCTTGCTGCGGCTGCTGTTGGGGATGGGAGTGAAATTCCCAGGTCACTGGAGTTGTGTACCTAGGAGGATTATGGCTGCCTTTGCTGAGTCATGCAGGTTGTCAGGGAAGTGGGGGGAAGCAGGCAGTCGCAGGCCTCATGCAGCTCCCATGCAAACTGAAGGGCCCATCTCACTCCCACTGTACCCCCCACCAACAGCCCCAAGTCTGTTTTCAAGTGGAGGGCAAGATGAGCTTGAAAATTTGCCTGAGGCTATCCACCTTCCAGCTGTGAAAGCAAAGGGCTTTAGTTCTTCCTCTCCCTGTGAAATCTGCACGCCCAGTTGGCACCCTCCCCAAAGTTCTGGCCAGGAAGCTTCTCATCCAGTTCAAATTGTTACAAAGTTCAGCTAGAGAATTCCTTCTACTTGCGGAATTTTACCTCTTGCTCCTCTGGCCATCCTCCCGATGGATCCCTATGGTGCCCGGCAGGAATGGGCTACATGGGGACCCAGTGAGCTCCCAGGGCCTTTCTGCTGCTTTCTCTACCCCTGTATTTCACCCAGCTCTCTAACTAGGCACAGCTATGGGTCAAGTTGGAAACTTCTCCTGCAAACATACCTTCAGCTTCTCCAGTGGGGGTGTGTGTCCAAAAGAGGAGGGTCGCCCTTTCCCACTTCCACAGTTGGGGCACTCACAGTATTTGGGGTGTCTTGAGGGTCCTGCAGGAGCAGTCAGCTTCCTTCAGAGGGTCTGTGGGTCCTCTCAGGATTGCTGGTTTGTTCTTGCAGTGGATCTGGAGCTAAAATTCACAATGCAAGCCTCCACACACTGCTCTTTCTGGAGCTGCAATCTAGTCCTGCCTCCCGTCTGCCATAATCTCGACTGAATCCCCAAGAAAGAATTTAGAATCAAGTATTGGCCTACAGTATAAATTCCTTGAGATCAGGGACAACCTTTGTATTCTCAATGCCTAGAACCTAATGTTAATCTGCTCAATTATTCTTAAACTATTGAATGTGATATGATGCCTCTCCTAAGGATCTTTGCAATTAAAACCTTATCTCTAAACACAATGAAAGATTTAATCTCCTAATAAAGACATTACAAGGGAAGTGGGGCATAGAGGATATTATTTGAAAAACATCCTTCCAGTATTCCTGAAAAAGTATCACATTGGTTGACTTTTTCTGTCTGAACGTGAAGCAGGTTAGAGTGCTGGAAGCAGATCTGGTGAGAGGAATCCATCAATCCTCCTCCCGCTGAGAGGTGAGCATTATTCCTACTTGTATAGCAGGAGCCTGACAGTAAAGAGATGGCACATTCAAATGGTGTGATCTTAACAAAGGACTATTAAAAGGAACTCAACAATGGATAATCTGGTACTCTGGGAACAGCATATAAAGGAGCTGTTACCAATCTTAAGCCTGAAAAGGCAAGGCTACAGGCAATCTAACAGGAGTTGGAGCCTTCAGAAGAGGCAGCCAACCCACAATGTCTGGGCAGGGAGGAGGAAGATAAGGAAATAAAAACCCTGATCTCATTCTCCTCTCCTCCTACCTACCTAGCTCTTCCTGGGGCTTCATTGGCCAAAATCAACTAGGCGTTAAAAAGCAAGGGAACCCATAGGAGCAGACAATAAAAATCAACCTGCTAGGACAGAGCAGGATGGAAAAAAAAAGCAGAAGGCAGACCTGGAGTGGCAGATGGAAAGGATCCAGTCTTTAACTGAAACAGCTTGCTAACAAACATGACAACTTCCATGCAAGCTTTGGCAGGACAAGCCCAGTTCTGACCCCCAGTTTACAAAATCTTGCATTCATCTCTGCTCTCCACAGGTCTGCTCTCATGAGAGTAGAGTAAGAGTCATACCTAGGAGAAAATTATCGTAATTTAATGTTCCTTTCAAAGTCACAAAGAAGCACCTCTACTATGTCCAAGCTTTGCCTGAGGTAGGAGATGTTGTATTTTAAAGCCTTGATTTATGTAAGAAAGTCTCTCCACTCACAAAAGTGAATGATGTGGGTAGCTGATTCCATGGTCCTGCCCACAGCCCAGTCACATCTCAACCCACCTGAAAGTTTCCAAGCTCTTTAAAATGACCACGTCTGCTGGGTTCCAGATCTATAGGCTCCTTTCTGTGAAGACAAAAGAAACTGGCCATCTTCTAAGATTGGATTCATCTTTTGAAGCAGCAGCATTATGGTGGAGAACAATGACTTCCCATAGCTTCTTGCAAGTGCAGCTTGCTGGAAAGAAACAGTGTTTCCCCCACAGAGGGCTTTATGAGAAAACAAACTGGAAAGATCTGTTGGAGCCACAAAAGCAGATTCTCTTTCTTCTTCTTTTCTCCTTTACATATTATTTTACTTTAGCCATAACACATGACTCAGACTGTAGAAATTAAAGCCCATCTCAGCTTTAATGAGGCCAATTTCAGTGATGATGAAATAGTTGACAACAATGCAGCCTTGTTTATTCTTCACTGAAATGGAAGCTCTACCAGAATTCATAGGGAGATACCAAGAATCTAATGAAATAAAAGTTTTTAGAAATCTCTTTGAAAAATATACCAGAAAAATCAAAGAGCCTATGTTAGGAAAAGGTCTTAATAGTACCCTTTTATATATAAATGTAGTTCTCCTTGCTCGGGAACCAACTGTCAAAAGACCATGAGTTTCAGAAGAATGGGTTTAAGATAAGCCAATATGATGTCAAATTTTGTGGAGTTCAGATGGTTCTGTCAAACTTGTCTTTAGCTGCTTGGTTTGTGGGGATTTTTCTTTTGAGAACTAAATAAATGTGAGTTGTAGAAACATAGCTAGCAACCCAAGAAATACACGTGAATCACTGAAGTAAATGTTTCAGTGTGTATGCCCATCCTGAGCTCTACTTCATCAATCCTTCTCCCGCTGAGAAGTGAGTCCCTGAAGCCACGTCACTGCCATGTTCCCACCACTTGTTGACCACAGCTAATTGGACCAAAAGTGGACACTTGACTCAGGGAAACCAATTCAGGGTCTATATTGGCAGAAAAAAAAATATTTTGCCATTTGGTGGTGGGACACAGAAAGGTCAGTATAACTACCTGTAGAAACTGATAGGAGCTTGACTAAAGGCCACTTTTAGAGGCAGCTATGACATTCCATATATAAAAATGGCAGAAGAATCAGCCTTGAAGAATAAGAAAAATGTGAAGCCACTACTAGAGAGAGATTAGAAGATATAAAAGACTATATACTCCAAAGAGAGATATGAATACAGATGGAAGAGGTCTGCCTTGAATTATGTTGACTTTCCAGGTCCTGTTTCCAGTCCCTACTGTAGATATCGCCCTTAAGATCTTGGAGATATCCTTATATCTATTCAGA